AGAGGAAGAGACTACTGACAGTGAGGTGCTACGGAGGAGTGTAACTAGCTAGTTGCAAGAAACTCCTGCCAGGGGTTCGCTACCCTTGTATTTGTTCGTGTAGAGGCCCAGCAGCGCGAGGCTGATGTTCTGTGCCAGCACCAGGCTGGAGAGTGATTGTGGGCGTGCACGAAGAGCACCTAGTGAGACTGTGTTTTGGCTGGCCCGTGGCTAGGGTAGACTCGTTGGTGTTTCCCAGTACTGGTTGAGGACGGTACTGTGTGTTGAGGAAACACGGTAGCTGACAAGACTGCATCGCATGAGCATCGAGGAGCGTTTAGTGTCCTATGAGAGAGACACTTGTGTACATATTAAGTGTAGTAATACTTCCTTTAGGATTATATATGAGGTGATGGGAAAGTGGTTATATGTGAATATATTGATAACTGATGAAGTGTCGTATTCAATGCACCTCCCCCTTTGTGTTTTACTTGCATTACCGAGCTCACTCCTTGAAAGCCACTACTAACTTGGGGCCGGATACCAGAACTTTAGTTCCACCAGCAAAGAACCCGGTTGCGACCCATTGTGGCCGTAACAGTGTGTGTGTGTGTGTGTGTGTACTCATCTAATTGTGTGCTTGCAGGGGTTGAGTTTCGGCCCTTTGGTCCAACCTCTCAACCGTCAATCAACTGGTGTACAAATTCCTGAGCCTACTGGGCTCTATCATATCTACACTTGAAACTGGGTATGGAGTCAGCCATCACTACATCACTTCCTAGTGCTTTCCACTTGTTAACTACTCTGATACTAAAAAAATTCTTTCTAATTTTTCTAATGACTCATTTGGGCACTCAATTTCCACCTATGTCCCCCAGTGCATGTGCACCTTGTGTTAAATAAACTGTTTTTGTCTACCCTATCAATTCCTCTGAGAATCTTCTATGTGGTGATCATGTCTCCCCTAACTCTCCTGTCTTTTAGCGACGTGAAGTTTAATTCCCGTAGCCTTTCCTCATACTTCATGCCCCTCAGTTCGGGTACCAGTCTGGTGGCAAACCTCTGAGCCTTCTCCAAATTAGTTTTATTCTTGACTAGATATGGACTCCATGCTGGAGCTTATACTCCAGGATTGGTCTGAAGTATGAGGTATACAAAGTTCTGAATGATTCCTTACACAAGTTTTTAAAGTCCGTTCTTATGTTGTCCAACCTGTCATATGCCGCTGATGTTATTTTCTTGATGTGAGCTCCAGGGGACAGGTCTGGCGTGATATCAACCCCCAAGTCTTTCACTCTCTCTGATTCTAGAAGAATTTCATCTCCCAAATGATACCTTGTATCTGGCCTCCTGCTCCCTACACCTATCTTCATTACGTTACATTTGCTCGGGTTAAACTCTAACAACCCTTTATGGGACCAGTCCTTCAGTTTGTCCAGGTCTTCTTGAAGTCTCAAGCTGTCCTCCTCTGTCTTAATCCTTCTCATAATTTTGCCATCATCGGCAAACATCGAGAGGAATGAGGCTATACTCTCCGGGAGATCATTTACATATATCAGAAACAAAATAGGTCTGAGTAGAGCCCTGTGGGACCCCACTGGTGACTTCACGCCAATCTTAAGTCTCAAACCCTCTCTGTAACTCGCTGCTTCCTATTGCTTAGGTTCTCCCTTATCCACTGGAGCACCTTGCCAGTTACTCCTACCTATCTCTCCAGCTTATGTACCAGTCTCTTATGGAGTATTGTGTCAAAGGCTTTCCGACAGTCCAAGAAAATGCAGTCCGCCCATCCTTCTCTTTTTTGCTTAATCTTTGTCACCTGGTGGTAGAATTCTATTAAGCCAGCAGGCCAAGATTTACCATCTCTGAACCCATGTTGATGGGTTGTCACGAAGTTTCTTCTCTCCAGATGTGTTACTAGTTTTTTTTCCTCACGATCTTCTCCATCACCTTGCATGGTATACAAGTTAAGGACACTGGCCATTGTCATGGTGCTTTCTATGTAGTCTCTGAACCCCTCACAGCCCGGGATAGCCATCTCCTTAAAACTCCATTCCTTTCTCATGAGTAGGGCCACTCTGCCTCCTCCCCTACCTTCCCTCTCTTTTCTTATTACTGTGTACTCCTGGGGAAACACGGCATTCGTTATGATTCCAGAGAGTTTTGTTTCAGTGAGTCCGATTACACCTGGGTTCACTTCTTGTGCTCTTTCCCTCACTTCACTTGCCTTGCTTGTGATCCCATCTATATTCGAGTACATTACCCTGAAACTGACTCTCTTCTGCTTCTCCTCTGGGGGGGACCTGTGGGATCTGTGTACTCACCTAATTGTGCTTGTGGGGGTTGAGCTCTGGCTCTTTGGTCCCGCCTCTCAACCGTCAATCAACAAGTGTACAGGTTCCTGAGCCTATTGGGCTCTATCATATCTACACTTAAAACTATGATATGATAGAGGAACATAGGTCAGGAGTTAGTACATTAGAGAACCAGCGGTTAGAACGGCGGGGTCCAAGAACTAGCACCTTGATCATGCAGGCACACGTACATAATACATATACACAAGCACACATACATATATATAAAAGAATTTACATAAATTTCACGCACGCATTTGCACTATTAACTACTGTCTGAATGTATTATACACAGATGTACACTCATTTGTACAGGTGTGTATTTGTGCATGGGTGTGAGTGTGAATATACATGCCTCTTTGAGCCAAGACGGATGCACTGGTGCCCCTGGGTGGTATGAGGGCTGCGTCTGACTGTTGCCTGTCTTGTTGGCCCAGCTTGTGGAGTTTTGTCTTACTGAACAGTCACAATATGCAGCCTTCAAGACGCCCCTGTACACATACTTGTGCCTTGCTGTTATTAAATGCATAATTAATTGAGATGCTTAATTTTATTGGGTAACCAGCTCTTAGACTGGTGTATTTTATATTGTAACATTAATTAGATGGATTTTATGACGCAAGCTGATCGTGGTGGCCTTTCCCATTCTCAGTATTTTTTTTATGACTAACTAATGTAAATTAACTCCATCTTATGACAGTTACATTTTAGAGTGTATATTTGATTTGGAAATTTCCCACAGCACGGGCTATAGTGAGCCCGTAGTGGACTTACCTGGCACAGGAGCGGGGGGAAGACTTGATTGATTGATAAAGATTAAGCCACCCAAGAGGTGGCACGGGTATGAATAGCCCGTAACCCGAAGACTTGTTGCTGTTTTTTAATTAAGATTTAGCTACTGGGAACAAAAAAAATCCAAGAAACACGGGCTATGGTGAGCCCGTAGTGGACTTACCTGGCACAGGAGCGGGGCTGTAACTTGCGAAGACTTGACAAAGGTAGCTACTTATATAGTGTTAAGTCAAGTTGGACGGGTGGTTGAGATGTAGCTCCTCGGCTATGACTAGTGAGGTGGATTATTACCGTCATGTCAGTCGATTATTTTGGTGTTGTTGGTAACGACATATTTAGTGATGGTAGAGTTGTGTCCTGAATTGTTCAAGGATGGGGGAGTCATTCTTTCCCCCTCCCCCCACTCAACCCCACTAACCCATCTTCCCCTCACCACCACCACCTCTCCCTGCCACCCCACCCGCCACACCACACCCACCCCACCACACCCCACACCCACCACACCCAACACCCACCACACCCACCACACCCCACACCCACAACACCCACCCCCACGCCCCACACCCACAGCACCCGCAACACCCACAACACCCACCCCCACACCCCACACCCACACCCACCCCACACCCACCACACCCCACACCCACCACACCCCACACCCACAACACACACCCCGCCACACCACACCCACACCCACCACACCCCACCTACCCCACCACACCCCACCCCACCACACCCCACACCCACCACACCCCGCCACACCCCACCTCACCGTCCTCGTTACTCCAACAACGAGTGTTTGTCTTGTGATGGTTGGTAATTACCGAAGTCTTTGTCACTGGGAAACGCGACCTCCCTCGCCGCTCACTATTGGAAATCCATCACTGTCCAAGTGTCACCTTCCGTGTCTCCCAGGCCGGGTTTACCTTCAGGGTCTCCCAGGCCGGGTTTACCTTCAGGGTCTCCCAGGCCGGGTTTACCTTCCTGGGTCTCCCAGGCCGGGTTTACCTTCAGGGTCTCCCAGGCCGGGTTTACCTTCCTGGGTCTCCCAGGCCGGGTTTACCTTCAGGGTCTCCCAGGCCGGGTTTACCTTCCTGGGTCTCCCAGGCCGGGTTTACCTTCAGGGTCAGTGTTACGCTTCCGGCAGATGTATAATACACCGTCAGTGTTACGCTTCCGGCAGGTGTATAATACACCGTCAGTGTTACACTTATGGCAGGTGTATAATACACCGTCAGTGTTACACTTATGGCAGGTGTATAATACACCATCAGTGTTACGCTTATGGCAGGTGTATAATACACCGTCAGTGTTATAACCCGGAATTCTCGATTGTGAGTCGAGAAGGAATCCTACTGTACTACGGGGACCCTTATTTTAGTAAGTGCTTGGTTGAAGCAAGTGTTGTGATGCAGTGTTTCACTCTGACGATTGTTGTGTTGTAGTGTTGTAGTGTTGTAGTGTTGTAGTGTTGTAGTGTTGTAGTGTTGTTGTGTTGTTGTGTTGTAGTGTTGTTGTGTTGTAGTGTTGTTGTGTTGTAGTGTTGTTGTGTTGTAGTGTTGTAGTGTTGTAGTGTTTGTTGTAGTGTTGTAGTGAGTGTTGAAGCAATATGCTGTCTTCAGTGTCTTTGTTGTGATAAGTGTTTTCCTTCACCAAACTTGCCACTGTTGTGTTGTGGTTATAGTGAACGTCTCGGTGTATCAAGTGTTTCGTTATAGCGAGTGTTTTGTTGACCCGAGCTTCGTTGTAGCGAGTGTTGCAGCGCAGTGAGCGTTTTGTTGCAATAAGTGTTTGGTTGTGTTGCAAATAACTGCATAAAGCTTTTATGTGGTAATACATTTTCTTTATCTTCTTCACCCTGAACGAGGGACTCAATTATTTCGTTAATTGATTTTTGTGAATGTTATTGTTGATATGGTGCTGCTTAAGCTTGGTCTTATGGTGCTGCTTAAGCTTGGTCTTATGGTGCTGCTTAAGCTTGGTCTTATGGTGCTGCTTAAGCTTGGTCTTATGGTGCTGCTTAAGCTTGGTCTTATGGTGCTGCTTAAGCTTGGTCTTATGGTGCTGCTTAAGCTTGGTCTTGTGGTGCTGCTTAAGCTTGGTCTTATGGTGCTGCTTAAGCTTGGTCTTGTGGTGCTGCTTAAGCTTGGTCTTGTGGTGCTGCTTAAGCTTGGTCTTATGGTGCTGCTTAAGCTTGGTCTTATGGTGCTGCTTAAGCTTGGTCTTATGGTGCTGCTTAAGCTTGGTCTTATGGTGCTGCTTAAGCTTGGTCTTATGGTGCTGCTTAAGCTTGGTCTTGTGGTGCTGCTTAAGCTTGGTCTTATGGTGCTGCTTAAGCTTGGTCTTATGGTGCTGCTTAAGCTTGGTCTTGTGGTGCTGCTTAAGCTTGGTCTTGTGGTGCTGCTTAAGCTTGGTCTTATGGTGCTGCTTAAGCTTGGTCTTGTGGTGCTGCTTAAGCTTGGTCTTATGGTGCTGCTTAAGCTTGGTCTTATGGTGCTGCTTAAGCTTGGTCTTGTGGTGCTGCTTAAGCTTGGTCTTGTGGTGCTGCTTAAGCTTGGTCTTATGGTGCTGCTTAAGCTTGGTCTTGTGGTGCTGCTTAAGCTTGGTCTTATGGTGCTGCTTAAGCTTGGTCTTGTGGTGCTGCTTAAGCTTGGTCTTACGATGCTTCTTAAGCTTGGTCTTATGGTGCTGCTTAAGCTTGGTCTTGTGGTGCTGCTTAAGCTTGGTCTTGTGGTGCTGCTTAAGCTTGGTCTTATGGTGCTGCTTAAGCTTGGTCTTGTGGTGCTGCTTAAGCTTGGTCTTGTGGTGCTGCTTAAGCTTGGTCTTGTGGTGCTGCTTAAGCTTGGTCTTATGGTGCTGCTTAAGCTTGGTCTTGTGGTGCTGCTTAAGCTTGGTCTTACGATGCTTCTTAAGCTTGGTCTTATGGACACATGGGGGGGGGGTGTGCTTGAGTGCCGTGGCTGGCACTCACCACCCAGGGGCTCAGAACACATACCCAGCCACCCCCCTCCCCCCCCCCCATGTGGTAATCATCACCTGGCCCCCCGCCCCCCCCCACCCATCATCGCTTCTAGTAAGCCATTGTTGTGCTCTATTATGTTAGTGAGTGTGTACTCAACCTTGTGATCAATATTGCCTTTGTGTGTGTGTGTGTGTGTGTGTGTGTGTGTACTCACATATTTGTGCTTGCGGGAGTTGAGCTTTGGCTCTTTAGTCCCGCCTCTCAACTGTCAATCAACTGGTGTACAGATTCCTAAGGTGTGTACTCACCTAGTTGTGTCTGCAGGATCGAGCATTGACTCTTGGATCCCGCCTTTCGAGCATCGGTTGTTTACAGCAATGACTCCTGTCCTATTTCCCTATCATACCTGGTTTTAAAAGTATGAATAGTATTTGCTTCCACAACCTGTTCCTGAAGCGCATTCCATTTTCCCACTACTCTCACGCTAAAGGAAAACTTCCTAACATCTCTGTGACTCATCTGAGTTTCCAGCTTCCACCCATGTCCCCTCGTTCTGTTACTATTCCGTGTGAACATTTCGTCTATGTCCACTCTGTCAATCCCCCTGAGTATTTTATACGTTCCTATCATGTCCCCCTCTCCCTTCTTCTTTCTAGTGTCGTAACGCACATTTCCTTCAAGCGCTCCTCATACCCCATCCCTCGTAACTCTGGGACGAGTCTCGTTGCAATCCTCTGAACCTTATTCAGTTTCCTTATATGCTTCTTCAGATGGGGACTCCATGATGAGGCGGCATACTCTAAGGAGTGCTTCAGGAGATAGATTAGGTGTTACGTCCACGCCCAGGTATCTTTCTCGCGTCGTCACAGGTAGGCAGTTTCCCTTCACTGTGTACTGTCCCTTTGGTCTCGTATCACCTAGTCCCATTTCCATAACTTTACATTTGCTCGTGTTGAACTCCAGTAGCCATTTCTCTGACCTTCTCTGCAACCTGTTCAAGTCCTCTTGTAGGATCCTGCAATCCTCATCTGTCACAACTCTTCTCACCAACTTTGCGTCATCCGCGAACATCGACATGTAGGACTCTACTCCTGTAAACATGTCGTTAACATATATTAGAAATAGAATTGGTCCCAGCACCGATCCTTGAGGTACTCCACTTGTTACTGTTCGCCAGTCCGACTTCTCGCCCCTTACCGTAACTCTTTGGCTCCTTCCTGTTAGGTAGTTCCTTATCCATGTTAGGGCCTTTCCCCCCACCCCCCGCCTGCCTCTCGAGTTTGAACAGCAGTCTCATGTGCGGTACTGTATCAAAGGCTTTTTGGCAGTCCAGAAATATGCAGTCTGCCCAACCATCTCTGTCCTGTCTTATCCTCGTTATTTTATCATAGAATTCCAAAAGGTTTGTTAGGGACGATTTCCCTTTCCAGAACCCATGTTGATGTTTGTTCACAAACCTAACGTTCTCCAGGTGTGCAACCAGTCGTAGCCTAATTATTCTTTCAAGTATTTTACAAGGGATGCTTGTCAGTGATACAGGTCTATAGTTAAGTGCCTCCTCCCTATCGCCTTTCTTGAAAATCGGTACGACATTTGCCTTCTTCCAGCAACTGGGCAATTCTCCTGACATTAGTGACTCATTAAAGATCATTGCCAGAGGCACGCTGAGAGCCTGCGCTTCATATTTTAGTATCCACGGTGATACTTTGTCTGGTCCAACCGCTTTAGTTGCATCCAGTGTTGTCAACTGTTTCATTACCTCCTCTGCTGTCACCTCTATATCTGATAGTCTTTCATCTAGGGCAATCTCTTCTAACAATGGGAGCTGCTCAGGCTCGGTTGTGAACACTCCATGGAAACTGGCATTCAGTGCCTCGCAGATTTCCTTGTCTCTTTCAGTATATGCCCCCTCCCTTTTCCTTAGTCTTGTCACTTGGTCGTTCACTGACATTTTTCTTCTTATATTGCTGTGTCATAATATCGCAATATCGTTCTCATAGTTCCTTTCCGATGTTCGTCTTATGTTAATGTAATCATTCCTAGCTCTGTTGCATCTGATCCTGTTGTCCTCTGTCCTTTGTCTTCTGTACTTCCTCCACTCCCGCCTGCTGGCCATTTTTGCTTCCTGACACTGTCTATTAAACCATGGGTTATTATATTCCCTCTTATTTTTCCCTTTACTGTTGGTATAAATCTCTCCTCGGCCTCCTGGTATTTCCGTATGACTAGGTCCATCATATCTTGGACTGTTTTTCCTCTAATTTCTTCCTCCCACTGCACTTCACCCAGATAGTCCCTTATCCTCCTGTAGTCAACTCTCCTTTCCCAGACCTCTTGTCCCATGGTTACAAGTTTGAATTCCATCATGTAGTCAAAGACTAGGACACAATGGTCGCTGGCCCTTAGAGGTATTTCATTCTCTAAATTCTCGATGTCTTCTACGTTCTGGGTGAAAATCAGGTCTAATAGGCTCGGTGCATCTCCTCCTCTTTCCCTTGTGTCTTCCTTCACGTGTTGTGTTACGCAATTCCTGTCTATAACATCTACTAACTTTGCTCCCCCACGTTTCGTCCCCTCCATGGGGATTCCTTGATTCCTAATTTATCTCTCCATGATTTAGGTCCCCCATGACCAGCAGCTTCGCTTTCATTCTGTGAGCTAATGCTGCTGCCTTCTGCAGTTCATCTATACATGCCTTGTTGTTGTCATCATACTCCTGCCTGGGTCTTCTACTGTTTGGTGGGGGATTGTAGATTACCAAGATCACAATCTTCCTCCCATCTGCTGTCAGAGTTCCATGTATGAAGATTGTACTTTCATTAGTAACACGATTTCCCAGGTCCTCAAACTTCCATTTCCGCTTTATTAGGAGTGCCACTCACCCTCCCTGTCTCTGTGTCCTCTCTTTTCGTATCACCTGGTACCCCTCTGGAAAGATTGCATCTGAGATCATGTCATTTATTTTAGTTTTCACTATTGCAACTATATCAGGATTTGCCTCACTCACTCTTTCTTTTATCTCTTCTGCTTTATTAGATACCTCATCAGCATTGGTGTACCAAACCTTGAGATTCTTCATGGAACCTCTGGGACCAGAGTTTGCCCTTTCTCTGGGGGTTTGGGGGGAATCTGGGGGGGGTGTCTGGGGGGTTGAATGGGGGCTGGGGGAGTCTGAGGAGTTACTGGGGTCTGGAGGGGTGCTTGGGAGGCGAATGGGGACTGGGCATCTAGGAAGGTCTGGGGTAGGGCCTGGGTAGGTACCTTACCTTGAGGTTACCTTGAGGTGCTTCCGGGGCTTAGCGTCCCCGCGGCCCGGTCGTCGACCAGGCCTCCTGGTTGCCGGACTGATCAACCAGGCTGTTGGACGCGGCTGCTCGCAGCCTGACGTATGAGTCACAGCCTGGTTGATCAGGTATCCTTTGGAGATGCTTATCCAGTTCTCTCTCTTGAACTCTGTGAGGGGTCGGCCAGTTATGCCCCTTATGTGTAGTGGAAGCGTGTTGAACAGTCTCGGGCCTCTGATGTTGATAGAGTTCTCTCTCAGAGTACCTGTTGCACCTTTGCTTTTCAACGGGGGTATTCTGCACATCCTGCCATGTTTTCTGGTCTCATGTGATGTTATTTCTGTGTGCAGGTTTGGGACCAGCCCCTCTAATATTTTCCACGTGTAAATTATTATGTACCTCTCCCGCCTGCGCTCAAGGAAGTACAGTTTTAGGCTCTTTAGTCGGTCCCAATAGTTTAGATGTTTTACTGAGTGGATTCTAGCAGTAAAGGATCTCTGCACGCTCTCCGGGTCAGCAATTTCTCCAGCTTTGAAAGGGGCTGTCATTGTGCAGCAGTACTCCACTCTAGAGAGCACAAGCGTTTTGAAAAGTATCATCATCGGTATAGCATCTCTAGTGTGAAAAGTTCTTGTTATCCAACCTGTCATTTTTCTTGCAGTTGTGACGGCTACTTTATTGTGTTCTTTAAAGGTAAGGTCTTCCGACATGAGTACACCCAGATCCTTTACATTGCCTTTACGTTCTATGTTATGATTTGCCTGAGTTTTGTACGTGGTTTCCGTTTTTATATTTTCTGATGATGATAAAAATATTTTATATTTTTATATAGGTAGGTCTGGAGTAGGAAGGGCATACTGGGTCTGAAGATTAAGGAGATTCTGAGAGGCATAGAGGGGTTGAGAGGTTGGGGGGGGGGGAAGAATAGAGGGGGGCTGATGGAACATGGATAGTGAGAGTGGGAGGGAGGTTGTATTAGTCAAGGGGAACTAAGGGGTAGGTGTGGGCATTGGGGCAGAAGGAGGGAAGAGGGAAATGGAGGATAAGGGGGAGGTCCCCCCGTCCCCCACGGGGGGTTCATGTGCCCCCCTCGCAAGAGTAGGAGGTTACATGGAAGGAGAGGGGATATGGAGGGGCTGAGGGCTGGGCGAGTTTTGGGGGTTGAGGGGATGAGGGGGTCCTTGGAATGTGGGATGAAACAGATGGATTTGAATGCAATGGGGGTCAGAGGGGTCAGGGGAGGTGTTGGGGAGATAAGCAGGGGCAGGGAGGGCTGATTTGGGGAGAGTGTGACCTGGAAAGCAGGTGTGAGCTGGTTAGCACGGGGTGGGGCACGGGGTGGGGCACGGGGTGGGTTAGCACGGGGTGGGACACGGGGTGGGTTAGCACTGGGGTGGGTAACTACGCTCAAATGGGAAGAGTTGTATCGTGGAGTTTTGCTAACCATCCTGTGTGATGGGGATTTTTTAGCATCACCTAGTTAGCTATTTTGACACACTGTACTCCACTTCATATAGTCTAGGGTAGCTGCACTAATGCAGATGTACCTCATATCTTAATAAAAAAAACTGTTCCTCTTTTGTCACGTATCTGTGTGTGTGTGTGTGTGTGTATTGACTTAGTTATGCTTGCGGGGGTAGAGCTCTGGCTCTTTGGGCCCGCCTCTCAACTGTCAATCAACCATTGTAAAATTCCTGGGCACCATCTACGTTTGAAACTGTGTATTTTTGGTTTTGTGTGTTCCTGGACATTTTCCTTCTGTGTTCGAGACGTGGGAGGGTTATGTGTACAAAGTGTGCTTGTGGTTGACCTAACCTCCCATCCTGGGATGGGTAGGGAGGTTAACCCTCCTGGTCGCCTCTTAACACCAGCACCACATCACCGCCTGGTAAACATTAGACCGACATTTAAACTCTTAAGGAACTCTCTCAAGACACTCAACACAGCTTACTTAATACCAACACTACAATACGGAGCACCGGCCTGGAGCCCACATCTTATGCATCCCAGGTAACAAACTTAAACAGTTCAGAAGACTGCAATAAGATTAGTGCCAGACCTAAGAAGGTCACACTAAACGGACAGGTTATAGAGCTAAATCTGACAGTAAGGACAGCCTCCTTAAGGTGTGATAAACTAGCACAAGGCGACACAAGTGGAAGCTGCAACACAAATGCGTTGAAGGGAGAGAATTATCAGGGGGAAAGCGCCAAGCCATTACGACTATCGGCACTAGGAAGGGGTCAGGATAAGGATTTGGGGTGGTAGGGAGGGGGGGGGGGAAGGAATGGTGCCCAACCACTTGGACGGTCGGGGATTGAACGCCGACCTGCAAGTAGCAATACCGTCGCTCTACCGTCCAGCCCAAGTGGTTGGGCACAAATGAGTTGAGGAAATGTAAGGAAATACTCTTACTCTGTACGGGTAGTTAACAAGTGGAATGCACTAAAAGAAGTTGTGGAAACCGCCTCCGTCCACATCATTAAGGCCAGATTTCGACAAAGAACTCCATAGTCAAAATAGTTTAACGAATACAAATAATAATATACGAATAAAACGAATATGCTGTCATATTCGCTCGCCAGTTTATGGCTACATAAACCTAACTACTCATGATCTTAACCAGGACCAACGAGACCTCTTGAATCTTGGCCTAAACTGCCAATTCATATCAAGACCAAAGAAGCATAAAAGAAGCCTGGAAATCGAAATGCTTCTGGACGACATCCATAAGCTAGAAGACAACAAAAAAGTCATCACCACTGACACACTTCAGGCTGAACTACTAACAGAAGCGGGGAAAAAACGAGGAACATATTCATCTACAATCTTAACCACACGACTCAAAGAAGCAGCAAAACAACTAAAAATCTGAAAGACGTAACAATAAGAAAAGCCGACAAGACAGCAGCATATGTATTGATTCCTACCCAAGAATACATGAACAAAATTAGCGACACCCTTAGTGATGACACCAAATTTCAACGGATCACGAGGAACCCTGTGGAAGACTTTAAACGAAAAGTGAACAAAACTATTACAGCAATCAACGCAAAGAAAGGTAGTGTTAATTTCACTAAACTCCAGGGCGACTATGGCTTAGGATATGCCTATGGCAATGTTAAGACACACAAACCAGGAAACCCACTACGCCCAATAATCAGCCAAATACCAACTCTAACCTATCACCTGGCAAAAAGACTTAACGAACTCCTAACTCCATACACTCCAAGCAACTATAGTCTACAATCATCAACAGATTTCCTAGAATTAATCAAAACTACACAGCCTGATGGAATCATCGCTTCCCTGGACGTCGAATCACTATTTACCAACGTCCCGGTCGACACCACCATAGGAATGATACTGGACAGAGTATACAGAGACGAGAGCACTCCCAAATTAGACATACCTGAGCCACACTTGAAGAGTCTTCTCGAGGCATGTACAAAGGAAGCTCCTTTCATCAGTCCGCAAGGGGACATGTATCTACAAATAGACGGAGTAGCAATGGGCTCCCCCTTAGGAGTGTTATTTGCTAATTTTTATATGGGGACCATCGAAGACAGAGTCTTCAGTAGCAGACAATAACCAACTGTATACTGCCGTTATATAGATGACATATTCTTCGTAGTAAAAGACTCAGACGAACTAAATGATCTAAACAGCCATCTAGAGAGAGATACTAATAA